TTTTGAAAATTGTAGGATATGACCCTAATATAATCAACCCTATTCAGCGTGAAATTTTCGACTTGTCTATGGGTTTATGAGGTTGATTTGGGAAACTATTATCAAGTTGGCAAAGAGATAGACGAAACTGATGACAATTTAAGAAAGTGGAGGTGTTGATCCATTCTTAAATTTTTAGGTCTAAGTTTTCATAGCAGTATTTTGAATTGTTTACGCTTTTGCTTGTATTTTTCATTTCAGTTGAAAAATTATTGTGGATTTAGAGATCATGAAAGATTATTTTGATTTGATATGAAAATGTTTTCTTTTTCCAAGTTTGATATCTTTTGCTCAACTTATAGAATCAGATATGTCAATTATTCGTCTCTTCTTTCAAAAAAGGAAAAGAACAACAATGGAATGAAGAGTAACACCACTCCCCTCAATAAATAAGAAAGTTAGTGAAATCAGGAGAACGCCGTCATTTTGCCCAAATAAGGGAATTAGTAGCTAGGGCCAAATTTAGAAAAGATACATTGTCCGTATATATATACGGAGAAGTATCACTTAAATGCTCCAATACTGAAAAACAATATAGAATCGTTCTTCAATTTATGATCCATTGAGTAATAACGCCAATGCAGAAAATCGTTCTAATTTAAAACAAAAAATCTTCTAAAAGTAGCAGTTTCATACACAAAAATTGTCGCCAGAAAATCCTATTTTCTAAATTAAAGTGATTACACAATGAAAAGACTTTAATATCTCTAAATGATAAGGCTGACATTTGAACAAGTTTTTCGTAGGGAGGGGGGGAGGGGGCTGGTCAAGGAAAAGGGCTTGAAGTTGAATTGAATCGTACCAATTTCTACCGGAAATGATTAGAAGTAGTTTGCTTTGCACTTTTCAGTTCACTGGAAAAGACTAATAGTAACTCCTTTAATCATGTAATTTTTCATGCATCATTAAATAGAAATGAAGAGTATGCCATAATATATATAGTCTTTTATTTTTTAACGTAATATATTGGCAAAAAGCCACAACAATAAGATGATAGATATGAAAACATAATAGGTAAAAAAAACACATCAACAGTTATTGCTTTATTCGTATAATAGATCTCTCGCCTCCAAACCACACCATTCTATTTGCTTAATCGAAGATTCATCATAAATAGTTCATATAATCATCACAATAAAACAAAAACATTACTACAACAGGTCTAATTCACCTTGTAATAACACACACACATTCATGCATAGATTGAATGCATCAAAGATTGATCATAATTCATTTGAACATCAGCCTGTAATCACACATCTAACAATAACAAAATCGTGTATCCATATACCGACAACGTAATCACCACAATCGCCAGCTTTCCCCATATTAGTTTTAAAGAGACTGAGAATCAAAGCAAACTTGAATGAATCTTATTCAAATGTAACATCAACTTAAATACAGGTAAGATGTAAATAACTTGACTAATTCTAAGGAACTGTTCTAACAACTTAATATGTAACTAAGTTGACTAAAACTAAGGAACTACTTTAACAACTTAATCTAAATCTACTCTAACAACTTGATAAGAATTAATAACAAACTAACAAACTAGTGAGTATGTCAACATACCCCCTCAAGTTATGTGTGGTGAAACAACGCCTAACTTGGATAAACACCGAAGGAAGGCAGGCTTGGGCAGCGGCTTTGTGAGATGGGTCTCCAATTTGATCCCCGGCAGGAAGATATTTGACTACCACTCTACCTAAGTTTCACACTGTTGCGGAGGTAGTGAAAGTCTACTGCAATGTGCTTCATCTTAGTGTGGAAGACTGGGTTCTTGCTGAGATATGAAACACCAATATTATCACAAAAAATACTTAGCGTTTGCAAGACTTGATATCGTAATTCAGTCAACAGATTGTGTTCAGAGAGTGCATTGGCTACCGATTTGTATTCTGCTTCAGTAGAGGACCGAGCAACTGATTGTTGCTTTTTAGAGGACCAACAAATCGGATTTGGTCCCAAGAAGAGTATGTAACCAGATGTGGATATTCTGTCACAGGGATCACCTGCCCAATCAGCATCGGCGTACATATACAGATTACTATCAGAGTGGCTAAAGATTTGCAGGCACGACGTTGATGATGTCTTGAGGTATCGAAACACCCTTTTTACTGCTTTCCAATGCTCCAGACTTGGGGATTGCCTAAATTGTGATAGTTTGTTAACTGCAAAGGCAATATCAGGACGCGTGAATGATAAGTATTGCAATTTACCAATGGTGCATCGTTACAAGGTTGCATCGGCAAGAGGTGAACAACCGGCTGCTTTGGGTGGTAAACTTGAGTACATGGGTGTCGTAACTCCTTTACAGTCGGTCATATCCACATCTGAGAGAATCTCAAGTATGTATCTGGATTATGATAAGACAATCCCATTTGGAACATGTTTGACTTCGATCCCTAAAAACTAGTTGAGTTCACCAAGGTTCTTTAGGGAGAACTTGTAAGCCAGAGAGTTGATTACATGTGTGACCAAGTTTGGGTAATTCCAAATAATGAGGATATCATCAACATACACTAGAATATACATCGTGACAGCTTCAGATGTAAAAATAAACATAGAAACATCTGATTCAGACTTAACAAACCCAATTTTAGTCAAGTGAGATTTGAGAGCTTCATACCATGCACGAGGAGCTTGTTTTAGGCCATAAATGGCCTTTTGGAGACGGCAGACATGATTGGGAAAATCAGGGTTGACATAGCCTTTCGGCTGCGCCATGAATACTCGCTCATGTAAGTTACCTTGCAAAAATGCATTATTCACATCAAGCTGCTGCACTTTCCAGTTATTTTGAATTGCAATAGAAAGTACAATTCTGATGGTGGTTGATTTGACAACCGTACTGAAAGTTTCATGAAAGTCCAGTCCTGGACATTGTGTGAAACCTTTTGTGACTAATCGCGCCTTGTACCTGTCAATAAAACCATCAGCTTTCCTTTTAATGCGAAATAACCACTTATAATCCACAACATTATTTATCGGGTCCCTAGGTAATAGTTCCCAAGTTTGGTTTTTCATTAAGGCTTCGTATTCCAGATCCATTGCATTCTTCTATTCAATGTGCTTAACTTCTTGCTTAAAGGTATTTGGAGTGGGAGAAAGGTGAGCCAAGAAGCTAAATTTTTTCTTTGGTGTGAAGATATTATTTTTGGACCTTGTGACCACACGGATGGTGGAGGGACAGCGGTTGGTGACATAATTGTTGGTTGTTGCGGTGGTTGTTGGTTGATTGGTGGCCGACGGGAATAGTATAATGGTTGAGAGGTGTTGTGGGTTGCTTCATTAAATAGTAAAGGAGGTTGGGAAGAGATAGGAATCATACATAATAAAGTGGAGACTGCTGGTAGTTGCCTTTCAATTATGGACTCTAGAGTGTTTGAATGAGAGGGAACTATTAGGGTGATAGGAATAGGAGACGGAAGAGTTGGAACAAGATTGGAGTCCAAATTTAATTGGACTTCCGGATGAGTATCCTTACCGACTTGGGCCTCTATGATTTCCCATTGTAACGTGGAAAACTTATTTTTCAAGTGTGAGAACATTTTAGTGAAATGAAAAATATCTTCACAAAATTGAACATCACGACTGATGAAATTTTTTGAGTGCACAGGATTAAAGCAGAGGTGTGCATGATGAACAATAGAAACTCCTAAGTAGACACACGGTGTAGATCTAGGTTGAAATTATTTTTTGTATATGGCTTAAGCCATGGATAACAGAGACAACCAAAAATTTTCAACGAAGAGTATTTTGGCGGTTCGCCAAACAATTTTTTAGAAGGAGAATCATTATTCAGGCCAGGTGTAGAGATAGACAGTATGGTGACAGGCAAAGGACCATAGTTCAGATGGTAGTGAGGCTTCATTGAGAAGAGTTCGAGCTGTTTCGACAATGTGACGATGTCGTCGTTTAGCGATTGCAACTCGTTGGGGCGTGTAGCATGAGGAGATCAAATGTTGAATTCCATGGCAATGTAGGTATTGTTTAAGACTTGTGTATTCACCCCCTCCATCGCTATAAAGTGAGACAATTTTGTGTTTGAAATTTTTTTCCACTAAAGCATGAAAGTTTGCAAAAATTGAAGAGACTTCACTTTTGTTTTTTATTATATACAACCAAGTGTATTTGGTGTAATAATCAACAAAAATGCAGTAATACAACTTTTTATCAATGGATAAAATGGGTGATGGACCCCATAAATCACTAAACAAAGTTTGAAGTGGTGCATTACTATTTAAAGTGAGTCGTTGAAATGGCAAACGATGAGTTTTATTTGATGAGCACGAATTACAAAAATGAAACTTTTCTTTGATGGAAAAGGGAAGTGAAAATTTATTCAGTACTAAGTCTAGGATTTTCAGATGAGGGTGACCCAAGCGACGATGCCACAGTTGACGGGAAACTTGGTGGAGGTAGGAAGTTGGGCGGAAGGTGACACATGATCCCTCTGTGGCCACTCATAGAGTCTGTGTTTATTCCGACCTTGTACCAGCAGTGTCCGAGTTTTGAGATCCTTCATAAGAAAAAAGTGTGGAAAAAATTCGATGGAGGTTAGATTGTCAGTGCAAAACTTAGCAACAAAAATAAGGTTTTTTTTTTATAGCTGGAGCACAAAGAGTGTTAGAGAGCATGAAATTGGAGTTAGAAGCCTTAATTTGAGTTAAACTAGTATGAGTAATGGGAATAGTTTTACCGTCACCCATGGACACTTCCTCATTGCTCGTGTATTCTTCAAGATTATTTGACTCGATTGTGACATGATGAGTTGCTCCAGAGTCAAGGATCCAATGATTTGCATCTGAGTGATGATTTGACATAAAGTTGACCTTAGCTTCAAAGTGGTTGTGCCATTTTGAGTGACACGCATCTGCTGTGTGAGCGATCTTTTGGCAAAGTTTGCATTTTACTGCTTGCCTGGGTTGTCTCCCATTCTGTTGATTTCCAGGAACCGCCTATCGTGGAGTTTGTGGTCTTGAAGATTGATTTGGGAAGCGACGATTATTTTTCTGATGTTGGGGCCGGAAGTTGGTCCTTTGTGCGACTGCAGCCGTGATGATTGAGGATGACTTGTCAATATCTTGATGTTTGAGAAAGAGTTCATGGTTCGTGAGTTTCAGGAATATCTCCTCAAAGCTTAGGGCTGTGTCGCGTGCTCTTATAGCGGCAGTGATTTCATGGTACTTATGACCTAGGTCACTCAAGATCTTGACTACTAGTTCATCATAAGCCACTGAAGAGCCCGCTACTTTGAGAGCTTCAACAATTGATCTGATCTCATGTATGTAAGTAGCAACTGTCTTGGAGGCCTTTTTCATGTTTTGCAACTGATCTCGTAAGCTGAAGATGCGAGTGAGACTCCAATTGGCATAAGTTGTATAAAGGAGATCCCAAGCTATTTTTGCCGAAGAGGCAGTTGCAACAGTGGGAGCAATGGTAGAGTCAATGGATGCCATCATTGCCTATTGAATTAGTTGGTCTTGGCAAAACCACAGCTCATATTCAGGATTGGAGATGGTACTATCAGTTTGTGTAATAGTGGTCGGCGGAGCAAATTTGGCACTAGTGAGATGCCTAAGGAGCTTGTGTTCATTGAGTAGCATCACTAGTTGCGCCTTCCAGGTGTCAAAGTTGAGGTTACTTTGTAGTTTGATAGGTAATTGCGCTGCTGGATTGAACTGTACCACATGAGTGGTAGTCGGAACTACAACAGCACTATCACTGGTGGTAGTAGGAACAACCATGTTTAGACTCAAAGAGAGGGAAAAAATTTTGGATCGAACTCGTGAGAGTTTTAGAGGGGCTCTAATACCATAACAAGATTGAGAATCAAAGCAAACTTGAATGAATCTTATTCAAATGTAACATCAACTTAAATACAGGTAAGATGTAACTAACTTGACTAATTCTAAGGAACTGTTCTAACAACTTAATATGTAACTAAGTTGACTGAAACTAAGGAACTACTTTAACAACTTAATCTAAATCTACTCTAACAACTTGACAAGAATTAATAACAAACTAGTAAGTATGTCAACAAATTTCACCTCGGTGTAACCATTGAAGGTCCTTGGGATTTAGGGTTCGACTTAGAAGCCATATGCTTTGCTACACTCATCTAATTATTTTCTTCAATTTGACATGGTAACTACTAATTATTCTTCATCAACAAAATTTAATCTTGAAAATTGTATATACAACATCTCGCAATTTGAAATAGCTAGGAAGAAGCTAAGAATTGGAAATAGTTTTTTTTGGAAAGAATTGAAAATCTGGAAATTTGTTTAGGTTAGGAAAAGTGAGTTTTTAGTCAACTTCAAACAGCCATAACTCTTAGCTCAGGATGAGTTAGGTGTACTTCCAGATATGGTTGGAAAACTCTTGGAATGATCTTTCCAACGGCGCTGAGTTTGCGCGATTCCGAGTTTGTATGAGTAAGTTGTGCCCTTCGAAAGCTGGGATGTTGGATTAAGGAAAGTCTAATCCGAATTTTGGAAGGGTAATTTAGTCTTTTCCTTACCTAATTATTCTAATTCGTTTTAAGAGTTTAATTGGGGTAAAGTTTGATTTAAGTCAGTTTTTGAAAAGTGAATTTCACGCTAGGGCTTGGAGAAAAGAGAAAAGAGGAGAAAGGAGAAGAACGTTCAAGAGTCGTCGAGATTAGCTTGTGGATTTCGTCGGGGGTGATCCCTACAAGGTATGTGAGATCACATAGCGTTAAGTTAGTTCACCCACGCGCCAAGTATATTTAATTCAGCATATTTTTATCCTAAAAAGATTGAGAATTTGATGTTCTTGATAGTTGTTCTTGAATTGATTTCGTTCTTAAATATGAGTTGGGATTAATGAGTTTCTTGATGTTAAAATGTTGTTTCCTTGAGTTGTTTGGGTTAGATTTTGTGTATATGATTTGGGTACATGAATCTAAAGTGAATTTGAGAAAAAGAATCGGATTAAAACGATTTAGGATCAGAAAACGAGATCAAAAGTTCGTCAGATTTTTGCCTAAGGAATAGGTGGCGTGATGCGCCCCGATAGCGCCAAGAAGGCTGGGGCAGTGCGCCAGCAGTGCGCCAGATTTGAGCCCCAGTAAGTTCGAGATGGTGCGTCGCCAGGGACGCGCCCGGATCGTCGTTTTTCACCAGTTTTCATTGTTTAGCCTATTTAAGTCCTTCTAAAGTGTACTAACGCTTTCCATTGATTCTAACTACTCTAAATGACTTCTAACCATCTAGGAATCATCCAGAAACATGAATCATAACCTTGAATCTATAAATTCAAATTCAAGAAAGTCAAGAGCCAAGTCTAGGAAGTTCTTAGAGTTTTTTTTAAGAAGTCTTTTCCAAATGTTTTAACTTTGTTTTAAGGCTTAAGTTCAAGTTAAGCAAAGATTAAAGATTTGAAGTTTCATTTCTTCAAAGAAGTATATGGAAACTAAGTATTCCCAAGAAGTTTGAAAATGTTTTCACATTTTGAGAAAGAAAAGGGAGCATCGATTCTAAGAGAGCTTTTAAGCTAAGTTTTGAGTAATTATCTCAAACCAAAGAAAGAAGTTGTTTTAAAACATATGAGCTAAGCATATTTTTGGGAGTAGTATTGAGCACCGATGTGGGGATGCGAGTTCATATTAACTCAAGTCTCCATAAACTATGTAGTCATCATGGGTATTAATGGGTCATACTTTTTAGATGATCACATAAGTTAAGCTAGTGGATCCACTAAGTTAAATAGTTCTATATGACAGCAAAGTATAGGACAGTCTGCCAGCGTGATGGAAAGAACGTTGTATCACCAATTAGGCTCATAGTGGTGGTTGTTGGTTAGAAAATCTCCCACAGAAACCATATTATTTTCTTATATGAATAAAGTTGAGCTTGTTATTGCTTTATCTTTAATGAGCTAAGTTGGTTGCAACTGTTTTATAAGCTTTATATATATAGCATGTGCTTCATTGCTTATATTTTAAGTTAAGTTATTTACAAGTTGAGAAAAGCCAGGTAAGTGTTTTCTTTCAAAATCCTTTCAAGCTTATATTTTGTTTTAGCTTTCCAACTCGCATACTCGTAAATTCAATGTATTGATGTCAATTGGCCTGCATCATATTATGATGTAGACACAAGTATCCAGGATCAGCATCCAGCGCCTCGTTGATCCAGCTTGAACATTCAGAGTCTGTTGGTGAGCCTCCTTGCATTCCGGAGGACTTCTTCATTTGTTTTCTAGTCTTTCAGATGTTAGGATGATCGGGGGTCCTGTCCCGACATCCCTCTTTGTTTTAGAGGCTTCATAGACAGTTAGTAGTCAGATGTCTTTACATTGTCATTTCATATGTTAAGACTTGAGTTGCCATTTTGGCCAAGTTGAATGTTGACTTTTAAACATTCTAAGCTATTTGACTAGGTTATTTGAGTAAGTTCAGTTTTGAGACAGTTGAGTTATTTATCATGTGAATCTCTTTCTTAATGCTTATAGTCTTCCGTTGAATTAAGTAAGCTAGGCCAAGGGTTCGCTTGAGGCCAGCAATGGTCTTCGAGTGCCGGCCACGTCCAGGATGTAGGCTCGGAGCGTGACAGTATATACCTTATTTTCTCCTTATGAATATATCATCTTTAGTCAATGAATAAAAATAGTCAAAAGAAAAAAAGTTTGAGAAGGATCAAATATACCTTAAATGAATTTTCTTTTCTTTTTCAATAAAAAATAATTAAAAACTAATTTTAAAATTATTTTTTTCACTTCTATTTGAAGAAAAAGGTATATGTGATTCATTTGTGCAACATAAGGGGTAGGGGTGTACATGGCCGGGTTGGTTCGGGTTTTTCAGATATCAAACCAAACCATTTGTGTTGGATTTTTAAATTTATAAACCAAACCAAATAAAACCAATAAAACTCGGATTTTTCAACCTCGGGTTTTTTGGATTTTTGGGTTTTTCGGTAAGTATTCATACAAACATATAATTTACTTATACTTCAAATATTTTCTTAGTCCTACAAAAATACAACTATCTAAGGTGTTTCTTTAGAAAATAACACAAAATATGATATAATTAATGACACTAAAATATCCAACAACAAAAATAATGAAATCGCGTAAAACAAATATTGCAAATTAATAAGTCATAATGAAAATGATCATAATTTAAAAGTACTAAATCATGCCAAAATAAGTTTCATAAGTATTAGTTACATGACTAAATATTAAAGAAAAATAAAAATTAGATTATGTATTTTAATTGTCTAAACCAATGTACAACTAAAAGAACAAATATTCAATATTATTGTCATTCTTAGTGTTGAATTGATTTTCTTTTTACATGAATATTAATTTGATTTTGATTGAAGCTTTATTATAATTACCAACATCTATGGACTATAATCTTTATTTCAAACATGAAATAATATATTAAAAGATAAAAACTATGAAAAGTATAATAAATATTTAAAAATTATATCAAAGTAAATATCTTTATGTATAAAATAAAATATTAAAATTACATATATAATGTCGATTGGTTTGGTGTCGGGTTGGTTTTTCTTAGTTAAAACCAAATCAACCTAAATATAGTCAGGGGTTTTTTCCAATATCAAACCAAGTCAAACCAAATCACTAGTCGGGTTTTTTTTTTTGACTCGGTTTGCGATTTGGTTCAATTTTCGGTTCGGTTTTGTACACCCCTAATAAGGGGTAAATATGAGTCACTTTCATAATGAGTGATATATTAGCTCTGAATGACAAAATTGAGGGGTATATCAAGCCCTTTGTGTTGTAATATATCATATAAGTCAAATTTTTACTAGTCATAAATCATGACATATTAGTAAATGTTTTACATGAAAAGGTCATGTAATGTGTAACTAACCAGATAATCTAGTGTAAATATATAGATAGAGTTAAGAAAAGAAATATGACTTTTATGGCATGAAAATTTAAAATGAGATTTAATACAATTAACATTTTAGCTATTTTAGCAAGTAAATAGGCTATAAATCTAGCAAGAGAAAGAACCAGCTTCTCATTCTCATTAACATTTTCACAAAGAATCGTCGTCCAAAATGCTACCTTGTTTCAAAGAAACACACGAGTCTCAAATGACATTGTTTCTAGAATAGAACAAGATCATAAATAATGAGAAAGAAGGTCGGCTGAGATGACAAACAACTACCTCACAAATCTCCATAGGAAGCCTCGAAAAAGAAGAGACTAGAAAGTATCACGAAGATCCGGGATAGTAACCTACAAAAATGTAGAAGCAAGGGATGAGTACCAAACCACACGGTACTTAGCAAGTAAACTTTTAAACACAAGCTAAGGGAATAAAATACGGGTACTCCTTACCACCCCAACCGAACCTCCACAACTACAACCTGCATAAAACCAGTCCAACCTAACAGTTCACAATTTTTATAGTACATAACTCAACAACAACATTCTAACAATTACATATCCTCAACAA